ACGGAAAATTTTTGAATTAGAACGTGACGTTTTCGACTTGTTTTTTGCACTCGAACAAATGTCTATAAACAAAAGTAAATATCGGAAATTCGTCAACGAATCTTATCCTTCAAAATAAGACTGGTACTGTTATTAACACAGATATAATCTAGATTTTTTACGATACCTCATTTATACTACGATTAAAGATTTTTAAATCCCTACGAAGTCGATATATGGGTGACACCTGAGATTATATAATATGTTCCAATCAAAATATAAATATAGAATATTTACTATTTTACAATTTATACTTTGATTTTTTATAAAAATTGAAGGAACCGTCTTATACTCGTTTATTTAATATTATTTATTTACATTACACGTTATTTTGAACGGGCCAAGTTCTTAATTTAGGATCGGTAATTACAGAATTTCTCGATTGGCAAGAAACAATTATGAATAGATTGGCGATTGATCGTTCTGCCGTGGATGAACTATCGATTGCGAGGAAGCCGAATAAGCTGGGTAAGGAATTAAAGCTTAAACTTTATAATATCGTAATTAAACTCGCTACTACACAAGGTATAGAGTCTCGGGTCATAAATATAACTGACGAGCAAAGGTAGATAGCGTTGGAAACTAAATGTTTAAAGAAAAATTATCGAGCAGCGCGGGAAAATACGGCGGTGTTTTCGGTGTTATTGGCGAGAATCCGAGTAGACGCGCTCATCTACCATCCAACGCAAGAATTAAAACAGAAAGAAGAAAGGAAGCCGGTGAATGACCCGTGACAAAATATTAGACGTGAAAATTATAAAAATTTGTTTCGATAAAACGAGATAGACGAACAGACTTTATCCGAGGAAGACTCGACCCGTTCTAGGCGTACGAATAGGGAAGGAAAAGTTATTCTCTATAATATTTAATCTGTATTTCTAAATTTACTTCTTTACTGTCGTATATTGTTATCCCGCGCAAATTAATCACATTTAAACTTAAAATTGTTTTTGACTCTTCTAGGCCGACGGATCTTTTATAAAGAAATTTTATTTATAAATTACGTTTATACGATAACGCGGTTATTTTGTTCAAAAGATTTGTCTGCTAAAGAATACATTAAATATGGTACGAAGTAAATATACAGGTTATTTTGTCAAATGTTATAATAAACGAAATGTAATACAAAATCAAATTAAAACGTGTAAATTTAGTGACATAAATAACCGAAAGTCGAATACTAAGGTGTAAATATTGTAGTACAACGGTGGGCAACCCCCGGCCCGCGGGCCAGCTATGGCCCGCGAAAAGTTTCTATCCGGCCCGCGAGATGTTTAGAAGAAATTATAAATAAATATTTTCGATGTAATTCGTCTAGTTTAAATTGAATATTTTTTTCTGAAGTGTTGTGGCAGCAATGAGACGAAAAATAAGGGAATCATTTCCTTATTCAAACAAAAAATGGGAGAACAGAATTTTTCTAAATTATTTATATCTCATCGTGTCATCCATCAAGAAAAGCTATGCAATTAGAAAATGTAATGTCTGTCGTATCCAACTACATAGTGATGTTTTTATTGTGTTTAAAGTCACTTAGATTTTATAAATATGTGAGCCGTTCACAGCCCGGCACAGGCATTTGTAAAATCTAAGTGACTCATACAACATGGAATTCATATAAAACGGAATAATCAACAGTGTTATAGGGGGGTCGACTGTAGTAATTAATTTCTTTTTATTTATTTATTTATTTCATATTTGCAGACTANCGTTAAAAATTATTTCTTTATTTCTTACAAACAAAATAAATATATTAAAAAATATAAAAACAAAAATAATTTATACTTTAGAAGTTATCTAGTATCAAAAACGTTCGATTCAGCACGACACACAGTCCTCAGAAAAACACCACACAAAAGTGACAGTGCTGCCAGCTAAAACACATACACAAACAAAAAATATTCGAGTAATTCAAGATATAGCCAAAGATTGAAGCGCCACAGCACTAGCGAAAATTAAAATTTGCCGACTGGAATTCTTTCGGATAACCGACTTTCGGATAAACGACGCTCTACTGTAGTTAAGTACTGTCGGTTAAAATTTTTTTAAAGTGTATATATAAAGTGTATTTAATAAATTACGCGAACAACTTTTAATAGAATACGTGTCGTACTTTTGTACAATTGTAATTCTTCGTATAATAGTTTTACTCAAATTTTCCATCAAAATTATAAATTATCATTTTCTTTCGTAGCACTGAATGAGGATTTCACCTCAACAGACTAAATATACATACTTGGTGTTGTCAATGTTGTTCCCGAAAGCAATCAACGCGATCTCCATCTCCACAGACTAAACCTACGTCTTCGATGATGCTTTTTCCCGCATTCAACTCGGGCTTTCGATATCTTCGGCTACTAAGAAGACCAGGCAGGACTCTTGCGAGAGTCAGCCAATTGTCAGACAACCTGTTATGCTGAAAATGCATGTGTATATCTGTTTTATCCCCCTTGTGAGGATTTTCGCCATTGCCAGTTGCAATGTTTCATACGTTTATTTGCGTACTGCTAGTTTGGCGTGCTTTTGAGTTGTCAAATTATTGTTATTATTATTTGTAACACGCGTAAGTGCATATTATTATTATTGTTGTTATTATAATTATTTTTCCTCTGTGTTAATGGTCTTGTCGGTCTTTCATTGCAAGTCGCAATGTTTTGTCTATTTACTTCGTAAGTGTCCCTCGCTTATGACACTTTTGTAACATGGGCATCTTTCTGTTGTACTGTACATATCGTTTGTCTTATCATAAGGAACTTTGTCGGTTCTCTCATTGTAAGTACAATGGGTGTTGTAAATATGTTGTTTCCGTGCCAATCATTAGGGCGCTTCTGCAATTCTTTACTACTGTTCCACAACTGTATGTAAATTTTTAATTTTGTTTTAAATAAAAGCGATACAGGCGCCCTTTAGATTTCCGTTTCATCCCTTTCCTATCCTTCTTTATAATTTCACCTTCAGCCTTTTCCTCTAGATCATCTTTCTTCTTCATTTTCACCCCAGGCGATACCTTCGAGTAGCCCTGGTTTCATCCCCTATCTGCTAAAAGTAAAAGTATTTTTTCATACGGGCGCGCGTTTAATCAGAAACGCGCGCCCGTATGAAAAAATACTTTTACTTTTGGTCCACTATATTTTCAATCTGAGAAAATATAGTGGACCATTGTTAAGACCGAAATACGGCTCTCCCTTAATAGTCCGACAGGTATGGGACCAAAGGGGTGTTGGATTACCAAAAGTGTCTGGATTATCGAAAATAATTACATATTTTGCATTGTCCTTTTTGCTACCAGTAGCTTACAATATTCCCTACTCCAACTGTTCGAACAGAACCGCTCGCAGAAAACACACGAAATGTGTGTCATCGTGTAACAATTGGATGGGGAGATTCACGTCGCGACACGCTTCTGTGCAAGCAGACACATAACGGGGACGGGTACCTTGACGGGAGGTGCGTCGGACTACTGAGCATGTCGGATTAAAAAACGTCGGACTATCAAGGGAGAGCTGTACTTAATAATTTGATTCCCAAAATTAAAGTAGAAATTCCCCGCTTCGGCTGTTATTTTCCAACGCTTTATTTATAACGGATGAGAATAAAAACTGATCGAGCCGTAATCGGCGATTTAATTCGAATGAATCGGGTTAAGAGGGACGGAAGAAGTAAAGCCACTTCGTCTCCAATAATAAAACGTCGGTCGTATGAAATTAATATCAATGACGGACTCCGGGTCTTCTTTTTCGCGCTTTCGACACGCTTTTATTTAGGCTACCTTCATTTTTACTTTATTGGACGGCCGACGTCTTAACACTCTTATATTTACGAAAGATTTTTTAATTCTGTTTCAAAATTTTTCTATTTTTAAATTTAAATAAATACTGCAACCAGCCGCTTAACTTTCCTGGCAAAAAACGTTTTAAATCGCTCGTGGCGCTATCTGTTACCAGATTTTATTTTAAAAACTTTTATATAATTAATTATTATAAAACGACAAGGAGCTAAATTCTGACGGTAGAGACGAGTATTATAAACAAAATATACGCTAATAACCAGTCGAATAGTCATTAATTCCGACTCTACTCGAGATATAACGCGCCATCTCCTTTCTCTTCCCACCCCTCGACCTTTAACCGCCAAAATGTAATAGTGATTTTTTTGACCGACCGACTTTCCTTTTGTTATGTAAGCTATAACAGAATCGGAAAAGTAACCGCTTTTTATTTACTTAACGAGAGACCGCGGCCGTACGTAGAGTGTTTATTCGGCGGAAGAGGAAAGGGAAGAAGGAGAACGAGGAGATAGAAAGAAGCGAAACGGTGGGTTTCCGTCAGCGGCGTACTACTCCCTCCGCCTTTAACGCCGGCGTGCGGTTTTTAGCTTGCCGGGCCGTGGGTCTAAAAGAAAACCCGAGATGTAGCCAACACCGATAAGTAACGCGACTACTACCGGTACTTCTTTTTATTTACCAGACTTTTTGTTACCGCCCGGTATTCGGACAGGCGCGTATAATTTTCCATCCGGATCTTTACCCTTTCCGCATTTCCAAGTTCCGGGCAATTACTCCTATTTTCCACGGATTACGTGAAAAATACGAGTAATTTTTAAAGATGTTTTTCCAAAGAAGACGTAAACACGGTAATAGATGAAACCCGGTAATTTATTTTTTTCCGTAAATAAAGCAATTTTGGAGAAATGGACCATGTAATTTTTTTTAAAATCAATTATTAGCGGGTTGCAGTCGGCACTGTTTTGTCTCTACTCCCTCTACGGACTAAGGTGACGTTTATAACGGAAACGACGTCGGCCCGGTCCCACCGAGACGCGCCAGAAACACTTCGTAATAGCCAAAGGCCCATCGAATGTTTTTCGAATTGCCTTAAATCTTCCATCGGCGGTTACCGGGCGGCACCACATTTTTAAAGTGCCAATTAATGGAAGAACGGACGCGGGGGTTAAACGGGGCGGAAAGAAGAAGGCCGACAGATAATTTCGGTCGAACGGTTCGCCCTCTGGACTCTTTATCTGGGAATTAGCGCCATCGGACGTTTACGAAACGAAATTCTTCCCTCGATAAATAACGTTGGCCCGGACTCCGATTGTCGGCCTTTTCTTTTGGAAAACCGTCGTCCCGGACAATAGGAGATTCCGCCCTTTCCCCGGGCGACCGTCGGTCCCGGTGTTTCGTCTCGGCGCGTTTTGCCCGTCGATCGACCTCCCGATAAATTTCTACTTAACTCGGAAGCAAATTACTGGAAGCGGAGTGGCAATCCTCGCCAATGACGCGCTCGAATCCTTCTCCATTGGTCGAAGGACTCGGATACGTCACTCGAGAGCAAAATTCGTAAATGTCCGACTCTCGGTACGAAATGGGATTTCGATGACGTCACCGCCTCGACCTATTCCGTATCGTTCTCTTCGCCTTCCTTCTCCGCGTCCACCGCGTAAGTGTGCAGCGCGGGCGCTTAATTGGTTTCCTTTTTGATAGGACGGTTTGTTTAACGAAAATAGTGCAAAGATCGCCTTTACTTATCGACTAGAAGCAACGGGATCGAAGACCTTCGTCCTACGTCGTTAGTAAGTTACTGACCTTTACGCATTTCGGACCTTCTCTACTCCAAACCGGATCTCGTCCTCCTTTCGTAAACGCCGCTTCCGTAGACTTTTGCGTAAGAAATTATCGGGTGGGATAACGCGTAACGCGGAGGCCGTCCTCCTGGAGTACTTCGCTTCGGCCCGTCCCGCCGTCTTACTATTTATTTTCGATGATGGAAGACGTGACGAATTCTTGTATTCCAGGTGTCGAGGAACAAGGGCTATCCGGGAACAAGCGGATATGGAAGACGGTGAAATGGAAGACGGGCCAAAGAAAGACCAGGTAAGATTTACCCGTCGGTGTATTTTTACGCATTCGATTAGGTTACGCCATGACGGTAATCGCTACCCGACTCGTTTATTCTTACCAGGTAAATTATAGAATGAGATAGCCGTATATTTTTATAGGTACTGTACAATGTAAATTTCAGGCTAAAAGAAAATGCGAAAAGACGATGTGTCGACTTCCGTCCGGAATCAACCTCCCTCTCGTGCCTCTTAAGATCGTCAACTTTTGCTGGCACGGAGGTAAATATCTTCTCTTTCGCTTTTAGGCAATTAGTTATTCGCTCGAATAACGGAATTATCTATAGTAGAAGTCGAAACTTTTTCATATTCTTTTGTTTTCGTAGCTCCTAGATTAATGCAGCCGCGTTTTATAACTTAGTTCTAAATTAACTGTCCATTTGTTTTCTTTTTCAGCCTACGCCAGCCTAATGCCTTATTTAACGGTTTACATGAAAAGTCTGGGTTTAAACGTTCAAGAAACGGGTATCATCTACACCATCCTCCCCATCTCGGAAGTGGTGGCGCCGGTGGTGGGTGGCGCCATCGCCGACAAAACCGGGAAGTACAAAGCCGTATATATGACTTCGTTACTCATGTGCGCGGTTTTCTGCGCCTGCTTTCATTTCATCCCCCATATACCGAATAGCTGCCGACCCACCCGAGTCGACGTCGCGTGCTCTGGTTCTCGATATATCGCTTCTTTTTCCGCCAATTCTTCCGCCATTTACCTTAAAGATCTAGAATTAGAACTGGGCGACTGTCGACTTCGGTGTTCTAAACATTTTATCGAAGATTATCGGCACTTTTGCCACGACCGAGACGCCTGTTTCCCCGAGTTAACGGCGGGAATAGAACATTACATTAGCCTTAGGGGATCGGTCGATTCGAATCGCAGTCTTAACGTCAGCACGATTAGAGTCGTCGATCGCGTTTACCACCATCCCACTTGCGACTGGGATTCCGAAACTAAAGACTACCAATGCTCCATGAAATGCGTGGCTACTAAAGTCAATAACGTAAGCGTTTCTTGCGGACCCGAGGCAAAGTTCCGCTATTTAACCGTAGGGCTTTGTCTAATCGTCAACGTGGGTCTGGGTTTTTGCTCCGCTCTGTGCTTCAGCATGCTGGACGCCACCATATTCGTTTTGGTGACGAAACACAATAGTTATTTCGGAAGACAGAGACTTTGGGCCAGCTTGGGCCAGGCGATTTTTTCTCCTCTGACGGGTTACGTGGTAGACTTATTGAGCGAAGGATGGGGCTATACCGATTACTCCATCGCCTTTCACGTATTCATCGGCATGATCGCCTTGGAAGCCTTGGCCATGTGTTCGTTAAACGTCACGGCACCGGCCAGACCCAAACATTTTTTTAAGAACCTGGTCCGACTTCTGTCTTCCCCAAAAATATGCGTATTTTTCGTGGCGGTGTTTTTCCTGGGGACCAGTTGGGGGTTCTTGGAATCGTTTCTGTTTTGGTTCCTTTTAGATTTAAAAAGTCCGAATTATCTGTTGGGTCTGACCATAACGGTAGCTGCCGTATGTTCCGCCCCCTTTTTGTACACGTCCGAATGGTTTTTACGCAAACTGGGTCACATAAATCTCATGTTGGTGGCGTTTTTCTTTTACTTCGTCCGTTACTTCGGCTACTCGTTCATTACCGATCCCTGGTGGTGTCTACTCTTCGAAGTGATGGAGGCTTCCACCTATCACATGTTATGGGTGACCATCGCCACCTACAGCGGAATATTGGCTCCGGAAGGGTTGCTGGCCACCATCGAAGGATGCGCCGGAGCACTACATTTCGGAATAGGTAAAATTAATTATTATAAATATATAATGTTTAACGTCGAAATTTGCACGTGCCGAAAGTGTAGAAGGCGTATAACATATATACTGTTAGTTAATTTTATCGATAAACACTTTCAAAATCATTCGTGTCGCAATCGTTTCTTTTTGCGCGCACAAATTGACGCAGCTACGCATCAAAAGACAAAATGTCGAAGAAACTCGATTCGGTCGCTTACTTTCAAAATACTCTTTTTATCCTTGACCATTCCAATGAGGAATTCTTAATTTCAAAAGAAAGAAATGCTGGCTGATTATTTACATTTTTAGAATTTTTAAGTCGCGATAAAAACAATATAAATAATTTGCCTTTTAATAATCAGACGACGGTTTATTTATACGAATAAAAACCCCGATATACGATCGTAATTGGAGAAAAGGCCGATCTAAAGAGGTTACGGACGAGAATATTTTATCGTTAAAGATTCCGAAAGAGGGGAGACGAATTAATAGAAAATATAAGTGGACCAATTTCTAGAAAGTTATAATTCTCATAACCTAGGTCCATATCGCATATATTTTCGATAAACGCCACGATATATAAACAATTTAGTTATCTGGGACGAACTTCGAAGAATCTGTTATACGTCATTCCTGGCCCACTTGACCTTCGCGCTCTCCTTTGGTGGACATCGACTATCCGCATTTCGATAATTAGTTAAAGCCTTTTCGGACGTCCCTAATAATAGTAAAGTAATAATAATCTATTAAAAATAAAGGCAAATTTAACCTTTCGTTTGCGGAATTAAAGCTTGTCGCCGTATTAAAGAACAAAAGACTAGCAAAAGATCTCTAAATCGGATAAAAATTTATTGACTTTTTCTATTTCGTAGGTGTTTTATTTTTCTTTCGTCGTCGTAAACTTCTGTATCGATGTCCGACTACTTCGACAAACAAATTTCCAAAATTTTATTTTAGTCGAACTGTTAATATTTTTAATTGTTATCATTAAAAGCTTTTATTTAACTCGCTTCGTACCGTCCTTATAACTCGCCACTCAAATTTCGATCGCGCGCAGTAAAGATAGAAGACCGAAACTTTCGTGACGTACAGTACTTTACCCCGACGACCGAGCGTTTTAACGATGTTTTGAGGAATGGCCCCCGGTCCCGAAATCCGATAAAAGTTAGAAAGGTAGAATGAACTTAAGATAGAATTAAACGTACTCTCGATGCTGGCGTGTATTTAAACGCGCCGTTGCGATTTACATATCGTATATAGGCCTATTGATAGTAGGATTACCCCACTGTTATCCTTATCCAGTTTTGTAAAACACAACCAATAAAAGCGTTATTTTAGACTTATTCCGAAACCGCGTCTTCTTTAATTTATTATTCTATACTTCGCAGCTGGGTGCTTAGGTAGACGATGCGCATCTTTAGCATCACTAGGTAGACGATCTTTTGCTTCGTCTACCTGCGCACCCAGTTGCGAAGTATAGAATAACGTTATTTTAATCGAAAAGAAATAAAATTGTTACGCGAGAAAAATTTATTAATCCCATCTTTTCGACATTACTTCGGGCGGGAAAGGAAACTCGGTGGTTAAGTAATTAAGACCTCTTTCTACCTCTACCGATATTTTTTATACCACGTTTCTCTATCGCAGAACTGGCAAAAACTTTCTAACGAAAATCTCTGGTAAGAGACGAGAGGCGGCTATTTATTTCCTTCCCGGAGTTATATAGGCAATTAATAATAATAATTTGAATATTTTACAGGTCGGGGTGCGGGCAGTTTTCTAGGAGGAATGTTGATAGACGTTGTGGGAATAAGGACCTCGTTTCGGATAGTGGGAAGCGCTTCCGGTCTGATCGGAGTATCGTACGCCGTCTTTCACTATTACACGAGTAGAAAAGAAAGAAAAAAGCCAATCGGTAAGTTTGCCAATCGCCTTTCACTTCTCGTAATTCTGCCGTTTTTCGTACATCGGCCACGCGCGTCTTCGTTATTTTTCCAGCGCCGGTTTACCTTTAAATTAACTTAACTAACAAACAAAGTTGTATCGATTGCGTCAAACTGGAAGGCCGACGTTTAACGCCAGATATAAAATTTCGTCGCGTACAAGTGCCGATCCGCGACTCGTACGAATCGACACTCGGGGATAAAAGTTAGAAATGACCAAGGCGCGACTGGATATTTCGCTTCATTTACTTCTCTCAATTCCGTGGTCGACGGCGTGGAGGACGTTCCTCGGCCATTCTCCCCCTCCGCTCGGTAGTCGGACGATTCGTTCTTCGCCAATCCAATTGTTGGTCGAAATAAATGTGGTAAACCCTGTGCCATTCGAACGAATATTTATAGTTTCGTGGCATTTTCATCGTTTTTCTAATTACTTACTTAGAACGCAATAAAATTGATTATTTTAAAACCTAGGTTTCTATGGAAATATCTAAAAGGAGGGTTAAAAAAATATAGCCTATAATAATAAAATTTTTTAAAAATATATATTTCTAGGCCATATATTTTAAAATTTTATTTCAAACTCATTGGGAGGATTAGGAATAGAAGAGATACAATATACAAAATTTTCCAGCGATAAAGGAAAGCAAATATAATTAATCGAGGTATTTTGTGAGGAATTCGGGCACTCGTTTCATTTTCTTTCGTAAGGGTATAAAGACGGTCATTTAAAAATAATGGATAACGGAAAAGGGAAAACGTTGTTGTAATTAACGTTATAAAGTAAGATCATATTAAATCAAAATTCGATTTGACTTTATCAGTCGTTGAATATCTTTCTAATAGGCTAAGTTCTATCGGATTTACCAAGTTTATTTTACCCAAACTGATCCTTTTTATTACCAGGAGGAAACAAAGTTTCTAACGAAACGTTTCGAATTTTCATCGTTTAAGAAAGTTTAATGACGTCATTTAGAAATGTCCGCGGAATGACTTTTGCGTTATATTTACGTTAGAAATAACAACGAGTCGCGTTACGACAAAGTGCGATTTACGCCTCGTATTTTTACCAAAGTTTCTCAAAAAGCCGTTCGAAATACAGTAGAGTCTCGAAAACTCGGCCTAATGTGGACCGAAGGGTGGTCGAGTTTGTGAAAATGCCGGGTTATCGGGAATGGGCTTAAAAAAATGGTTATCGGGAATGGGCTTAAAAAAATAAGTACGAGTGTTTCCTCATAAAATACTGTACTGTACTTGTATGTATTGTTTACTTGAGAATACAACAGAGAATAAACTGCCTAAATACCCTTAAACAAAGGAAAAGTACGTCCTTTATGAAGGCGTAGAGCCTTTACTACATGAAAATGAAAATTAATGAATACACTGTGTACAGTAATTTATCCGATAAGACAGACCTCAGAAAATACTTTACGAAACATAAAGCTGTCTATAATGAAAATTAATTAACTAAGGACTTTTTTGCCCTGCCAGGGTGTGGCCGAGTTATCCGGAATGCCGGGTTATCGAGTGCCGAGTTTTCGAGACTACTGTACCTTCATAATAAGCGGGTTTAGTGGTTGGTCGTAGATCCGGATGGATCCTTTCGAATATCGGGCCTGACGACGTTTCCGTTCAATTTCAGAGTTAGGCTGTCGTACGATCTTTCTATTACCAGAAACCAGTTTAGAAATTATCACACTATCGTATACTGTATCTATTAAACGGCATTTTTTGGCAACGTTGTAATTTTTTTAAGATATTCTTTTCTTTTTACAAAGTCGATGGATCCTAACGCGTTAAATAGACGAGTCGTATTTGCTTAAAAAAAAGTAAAAAATACCATACTCCCCCAAATCTATCATTTAATTTCTACCGTAGAAATTCTTCGCCCACGTCGGTAATGCCTTCTGTAAGTAGGAAAATGTGACCGACGATTATTAGATCAATCGGTGGTTAGATTTAAATTCATAAATACAGTATTAGAATATATGTTAGTCTTTAAACTTTCGTTTCCCGTGTACTAAACGGGAGACGGAGACTGATAACTATTGAAAAAGTGAAAGGCGTAAAAGGCGTGACTTTTAATAAGGGTTAATTTTTTTTTTATTTGAAGGTTTATTTGTCAATGTCTTTTGCAGAGACGAGGCCATCCGTCAACGGAAACGTCGATCATCAGATGCAAAACCTGGGCAAGACGGAATTCAAATCCGCTAATTCATCGTTAAGCAAAGACTCTACGGGTGTAAAAACCAACGCGTGTCCCGTTTAAACTATTAATTAAATCGATTTTCATTTGTATAATTCCCAAAGACGCCGACTTATAATAAAATTTACAATTTCTCACTCTCGTTTTCTGATATTAATCGCGAACAAAGGTACTGTATAACGGTGGGTAAGGCAAATCTTACGACATAACTGTCGTAAAATTTTTCTTACCCACCGACTTTTCTCTCCTTCCGTCTTCCGATAAATTTGTAACTATTAAACACTCTGGCATGCCTTCGAAAATTCGAAAAATAATTATTTGATGGATAGAAATTTTAAAAAAAGTTCGAAAACGATACAGTAAATGTGGATAATAGGAAGCGCGTTGGAATCTAAGCTCGGACGGGATAAAACTGAACGGAGAGTTAGTTCTTTCAACTGTGCTGAGAAAATACGTAGTTACGGCTATTTTCCACACATTGGCCTTTGCGGTTCGTAACGACGGACGAGTTGTATCTATCTGCGTAGGAATCTCGCGGTAAGTGGCGTCTTTTGTTTCTAATAATCCGCCGTAAGTTTTTGCTATTTCGTAATGACTTCCGGCTTGTACTGTCGCTTCTCGGCCAGGAAGAACTACGGCCGAATCTGGAAGGTCGAGTCGGTGGGTACGACAGAAGTCTGAAGGTTAGTGCGTTGGAGAATAGATGTAACTGGGTATTTTCGCTCCACCTAAAGGTAACTTTTCTTTCTTTCTAGCCCATCGCAAATTATTAAAGGATAAATAGGCCTTTAAAACGTACAGTACAGACCCATCGCTGTAGTTATAAGCCTATATTTATTGACGACTTTTAATTAAGTGCTAAAATCAGTTTAAAAAAATTAATATACGTGTGTAAACAAAACACCGATTAGGTTTTTCCATCTGATTATTATGGTAGACTCGAAGCGAGTTTTTGTAAATCCGTATCGTAATTCGAAATTTTTCTTTCTGAAAATAAAAGATTTTAACTTTAAATTAAAAAGACAGTTCAACAATTTTTCGAATTTATAAACTTATTTACAGTTTAAAATAAGATAATAAATAGAAATACTAAGAACTGGAATCCGGACTAAACACTAACAGCCGATTGCGAAGACAGAGTTTACGTTAAACGACGTTTATCAACAGAACGGCTTATAGACGTTGGCTGGCCGAACCGCGGATTAAAATGCGTTGCAAAGACGACGATCGTCTATTTCCGACCGTTCTCTAAACGAACTTCGGCAAAACATTGGCTCTTACTATTACTCCCCCGTTTTTGGAGTCGTTGGGCCAATCGGGTTGTTTGTTTGTGATGTCAGAAATGGTGGCCAGCTATATTCCGAAAACTTCCAGAAATAAAATCTTAAGGCAGTCAAAACCATTGTTCGGCAATTAATGACAATCCTTTTCCATTTCGATATTTAGGCCTAATTTCGTCGCCGATACGGTTTAAAATACGAACAAATTTATATTTAGAAAATTTATACCGAATTCGAAATTCGTCTTCGGAATAGATTTTTAAGGAATTATTTCGACATCTTATTACTGTCGAAATGAATAATTTTAAATATTTCATTATTCATATTACATTTTTTATATCTGTAAACAGATTTCTATAATTATTAAAATCGTCTCGTTTGTTTAACAGTAAAATGACTCCGAAATGCATTAACGTTTTATAACCGACGCGATACTCGAATTGTAAATAAATGCATCTGATTTAAATTAATCGAACTTTTAAGTCTTCACCCATTTGAATAGCGAAATTGGAACATTTAAAACAAATTTAAAGTTATTAATTTTGCTGTTTTTGTTCCGAGCAATTAATTAATGAATAATTTTGTCGATTCGTACCGTTTACAACACTTATCAAAGGAACGATATAAGACGGCCGGATGTCCGAGCGGTCAAGCTGGCAGTCTACTGCTCTTGGACACCAGGAATCGAATCCCCAGGAATTTTTCGGGGTGTGGCCCGTTCTGATATGTGGTCCGTCCCTCACTACCAGACAGCTCCATTGTGGGCCTGGCCGAACCCGTAATGGGCTTGCTATAAGAGGCCCTCTTAGTGCCCACAGGTCGGAAAGATTATATAAAAAAAGAACGATATCTGTTTTTATCTAAACTTTTCCACGAACAAAGCTACCACTCAAATCGAAAAGCCCTCTAAACCCGCTATCGAGTGAGTCTAGAAAATAGGTCAAATAACTCGTTTCTAATCGCTGTGTACATTGTGGCGGGCGAGAAACGCCGTCTCTGCAATGAAATTTTTCTGAACAGCGGTCTACCCGATCTCTAAACCATCGTCAGTCTCTAAACGTTCTCTGCGATCGGCTGTGAATGAAGAAATGGCTTTGTCCGAGCTCTTTTCAACTGCTCAACTTTTCTAATGTTATATCAATATGAAAATTTTTTTATGTAAAATCTTCAGTTATAATAAAAGTTTACGAATATAAAATAATTGTACAGTATACAAAATTTTTGTTCGATATTATTGAAGAATACGTTAGAGTTTCAATAAAATAACATGCTGTATGAGGTTGTTTTTTCTCGGAGTTGTATATAATTACGAGTAAAAGCGAAAGTATTCATTCGTGTTATGAAGAAACTCGACTCCGCAAGGAGCCAATTGCTTATGCAGTTGCTTGGGCCCCTGAGCCAAACGTGGTGCTATCTTGTCTCGTCTTCCCGTTTTGATCTCGTTCGTTGCGCTTAGTTTATGTCTTATCTGCGTTACCATTGAGGTGGAATTTGCCAACGCACGCTTGGACAAACTGGGATGAGAGGGAGAGGGAGAGGGGGAGTAAAAATTTCAAGAAAAATAAGGACGTAATTTATGAACAGTCCCTAAGCAACGTTTCGTTATTTTATACTTAAATACTGAACTTGGGGTTCTATTCCCTTTCCTAATCCAAAAGTTCATAGAGTCTGCCGTTGACAACCCTCACAAAATTCAAAAATTAAGATCTGGCGATCATCTTATAGAAACTATATCTGCAAAACAACCTGAAAAATTCGTGACGATAAAGACATTAGGCATTATCACAATTACTGTTTCTTTATATGCCATCCTCAACTTTTCTCTTGGAGTGATATCGGAAAAAGATCTCTTCTCCAAGCCAGAAGCTTCCATTCTTGATAGACTGTTTGCTCGCGATATAGTGGCAGCTGCCGTATTAACATTCGTCAAGACGGGCAACAGATTGCCACAAAAAACAGCATTCTGACATTTAACATCCCCGAGTTACATTCTTTTGTGATTGTCGGATATTTGCGATGCTCAGTAGGTCTTTATATACCGAATCCGCCGCACTGTTGTCAATGCCACCGGTTTGGCCATTCCAAATTATCATGCCGTGACATCAGTCTTTGTGCCGGATGTTGTCTTCCAGGCCACGAAAGTACCACATGTAGTGCTGACTCTTGTTGCGAGAATTGTAAGGGTTCCCATCCCTTGCCCTTCGTGGTAGCGTGAGAAACAAATCCAAGAAGCGAAAAACCTCAAGGAACAATACTTTTGCTGAGACCAGAAAAACAGTGGGGGGCTTGAATGTCCCCAAAATCGAATTCTGCTGCCTGTAACAGTTTGGAGAGATACATTATAAATATAGATGTTCTACTTTAATTTATACAGATGGAAACAAATTTGATAATCATATTGGATCGTTTGCGATCTGTCACCCGATGTGGTGACAAATCATTTACCAACGGCTTCAGTATTCTTTGTAGAACTGAATACATACCATCCACTTAGCACTGAAACATATTATAAACAAAGGACACCGTCGAAGTATAATATTTTCAGACTCACACAGTAGATACAAGCTTTCAACTCTGCAGTTTTCTCAACATCAGTGGCGGCCTTAGGGGGTGGCGAGCAGGGCAATCGCCCGGGGCCTCGCTCTTGGAGGGGCCTCGCGCAACAACCAAGTAGAAAAAAGTTGATATTTAAAACTTTTTATTTTATCCTTGGCTATTAGTTATAACAATAAAATAAATAAGGGCCTCGCAAAGATCTGCCGCCCAGAGCCTCGCAATGGATAAGGCCGCCGCTGATTAAGTTATTAAGGCATTAATGGAATGTTCCATCGACCACATAATATTATTAAGTTTATATGAAAAGGCAGAGCAATCTCTCTCTGTAAACACATGGATTAACAATGAAATACCAGATAAATGTAACGAGCCAATATAAGTTTATCTAGTACAGATCGTGGTGATTTTACTGTATCTTCTTACTAAGTTGTTAAAGTACAGTAGACCCCCCTATAACACGGGTTCCTATAGTTCGGATTCCTATATGACGGCGAAAAAATTGCGACGGTATCCGTACAAACATGGTAAAAAAACTCCTATAATTCGGTAAAACGTCATCGGGCAGCCGAACTACTTTCCGCCGTCCAGCGCCACGCTANTTATAGTACAGTATATATTAATATTAATAAGTGCCTACTATTTCAATTCACATACTTTGCACAAAGGACAAGGGCCTCGCAAAGTTCTGCCGCCCAGGGCCTCGCAAAGATCTGCCGCCCAGAGCCTCGCAATGGATAAGGCCGCCGCTGCTCAACACTATCTAGTATAGAAGGTCTAGGTTTTGTTGGGTTCCGGGACACGTTGACTTAAGGGGTAACGAATTGGTTGACATAAGTAACAAAGTCAACTACCCCACTTGGCCGGTTTTCACGTGCACTTCCTACAAAGATTTAAAACTCATCATAAAGGCTAAACTGCGCAACGTTCCCCGAATAGTCAGACAACCCCAAAAAGCTGCACGAGATCAAGCTAGTTACAGAATTTTGAGAGCCGAACCATCGCAGGAACAGACAAGAGGAAGTTGTCCGGTATGATTGCACATAGGACACAATCTCCTCACCCATCGTTACTTCTTGGTGGGCGAGGATCCGCCCGAATGTCCTGGGTGCCATTGTTTTAACAGTCGAGCATATTTTAATTGCTTGTGGGCTTTTTTAACAGATTACGCTTGCGATATTTTAACCGGTCTAATCTTAGTCCTTATTGGCAAGGATTTCAATTCTTTTCTTCTTTTTCGTTTTTATCAGATATTAGTATTAGTATTTTAAAAGAAATTTGATGTTCTAGACCAGGATTGTTCA